CTGGGATGAAAGAGACATGTTTAGCAAAAACAAAGAGGTTCAAACAGTGTCTTCAGCATTCACAACAACACTCCTGTAGATGCACATAGACACATCAGAGCTGACCTGCAATTCAAAGACTGCATGCACTCGTAAAAATAAAGGTTCCAAAAGGGGTTTTCAATGATGCCACAGAAAACCATTTTGGGTTCCACTAAGAGCTTTTCAGTAAACTGTTCTTAAAATAAACATTTTTTTTCTTAGTGTGAAGGACATTTTAATAATCTAAAGAACCCTTTTCCACTATAAAGAACCTTTTGTGCAATGGAAAGGTTCCAATGATGTTAAAGGTTCTTCATGGAACCATAGATGCTAATAAAAACTTTAATTTTAAGGAGTGTAAAATGCTTTGACGGATAAATTTTTTATTTGTTTATATATATATATATATATATATATATATATTTATTATATATATATATCCAATAACTATTTAGCTATTTACTGTATACGCCAAATTGATGTTAAATAAAAATAATGACTATATTCTGAAAGCACATTAAAGTGCTATTCTTACTGTTTCTGTAGAACTCTTAATATTTATAACTGTTTGTACATTATCTTTGCACTTTATGGAATACAAGGATTATCTGCTATATTTGCCAAAATGTGTAGTGTACACTGAGCGTACTGCACAGAATAGATGTCACACAATGTAATGCACATTTCCAGTAGTACATAAAATGTTATTTAAAAGGCAAAATATCTTTATTTAAAATTAAATGCAAAAAACACTGATAATAAAAAAAATCATAAAAAATAAAACAATAAAATAAAAATGTATAAATTAAATTAGAATTAGAATTTTATTATATAATATCAATTGCATAAAAAAATTATATAATTGGTTATTTAACCAAATTAAATAATTATATAAAAATATTACAATAATTAGTATTTTTATTATTATTATTATTATTGTCTATATTAATGTAATAATTTTAATATATATTAATAATAATTATAATACATTTATGATAAAATAACAAAAATGAAAATAATAATAATAATAATAAATTAGATTATAAAAATAATAATGATTATCATTGTTGTTAAATTGTATATTATTATTATTATTACTACTAATAAATAATATATACTACGTTTTTTTTTTTCATTTAATTTCCAAGATGATTGGACATCACTTGTTAAAACATGCAGTGTGATGTTCGAACTAATGTTATTATTGATTGCATGATGCATTCTGTATCACATACTATTATTCAAACAATAGTAGGCCATGAACAGTGTATTGCACAGTATTCAGTTAGTAGTAAGCTAGTATTCTATTCTGAATATAGTCCGCAGTTTGTACTTGTTATTGCTTTTCAGTGGCAGGTGGTGCTAAAGGGGAGAGACATTCTCAATTCTGTTCTCATTATATTTTATAATGACATTCGCATTTTATTCAACAACAATTTGCATATGCTGTAGTCATCAGTACATTTAGTCACTGTATACAGTACACAAGGTGCCCCCTTTGTGTTTAATACGTTGTGTTTAATTGTGTTTTTAGTCCATTTTCTATAATTGCATATATCTGCTAAAGATGTCAGCTCAGCGGTATACTAGCATATAGATGTCCTTAAACCTAATAGACAAGGACTACAAAACCACAAAACTCCAAATTCCATTTCATGGACTCTGTTCAATCTCATTACAACAAACTCCATTCACATTCTGCTTTCTTTCACGTGTTTCCCATGTGGAAAGAAATCTGTCCGTTTTCTCACGTACCACCTAAATTTGCCTCAGCAAAAGACCGTACAACTGCTGTTTTACAGGTCCTTTCAGCCAGGTACTGCCTCGTCCTGTCCTTGTTTAGCAGAAAGAAAGCAGAAAAAGACCCAATTAAGGGCACACTAGATTACTAAAGCAGCTACTAAATAAATAAATTAGAGGCATAAATGGGCTTCAGCTCATCATGGGAGCCCAATCTCTCAACTGGCAGGCTGGGAATTAACACGTCCAGCCAGCAAGAGGCCAAAAGTGCTCTCTGTTCATCAGCCAAACAGCCCTCCTTTTCCAAATCTAAAGTGACAGCCGCTGACAATCGCGAGCGGATCAGAAGGGTGCAGGTAATATCCCATTGTGGCCAGCTGATTAAACCCAGGGTGGGCCATTGATGAAGAATACTCTCTATTATGTTCCTGTCTAATTACAGTGGCTGGGCACGCGGCGGACGAATAATCTGAATGGCGGCGACAGCCGAGGGTTCTAGAGAATACACGGTTAATGAGGTGAGCTGCTCGAATGAAAAGGTGAGAATCAATCACAGAAAATCAAGGAGCAGATTGTTCATTAGGAGTCAGGATAATGCACAGCGTGCCGGCAACACCAGCGGCAGGGCCACTTTAATTAGGGCCCAGACGAGAGGCCATGCAGATTTATGAACGCTGTCATAAGAATCACTGTTTCCAGTGACATGGACATGAATGGATGCGTTCGGCTATCCGTGGCTGAATCCAACTGGGGAAATGGCATCTCGGGTACAACAGTCATGCATCAGCAATTGGATTTTTCTAATATGATCGACTGAACGAATGAAGTGCAGGAAGATTTTAGACTTGTAGAGATTTTTTGATGCGTAGAGTCAAAATGCAATGGATTGGGCACACAACTGATTTTTTGTTAGTATTTCTGACTGAAACAGGCTATTTAATGAGAATACATTGAAAGGTGGGACTTTTTGTCTATTGGGAATTGATTGGATTGTGAAAAGTGGGTGTGAAAAATGTAGGTTCTTTTTTAAGCTGATACTTTTATTCAGCAAGAATGCATTAAATTGATCTAAAATGAAGGTAAAACTATTTATAATGTTACAAAAGATTTCTATTTCAAATAAATGCCGTTCTTTCTAACTTTCTATTCATAAAAATATGGTTCCACAAAAATTTCTGACGGATCATGTGACACTGAAGACTGGAGTAATGATGCTGAAAATTAAATTTTCCATCGTAAGAATAAATTACATTTTAAAATAAATTCAAATAGAAAACAGCTATTTTAACTTGTAATATTTAACTGTTTTTGCTATGTTTTATTTTTAAAAAATGCAGCTTCAGTAAGCAAAAGAAACTTGACGTCAGTTAAAATGGAAAGTCACTTTTAGAGGTGAAGCATTTTATTCAATTTCATTTTTAAATCAAAATATAATTTAACTGTGCACAATAAGACCAGGAACATGCATTAAAAAGTGAACTGTAACTTTAGATTTCATGTTGGTTCACAATAATTTATGTATGATAGAACCTGAATGTTACTGTATTTAAAGATGTTTTGACTCCGTAAACAGTAATTTCGTACTAAAAGGCAGGTCAGCTTGCTTTCAAATATTTCTCTTTTCTGATATCTTTCCATCAGATTGAACAACAACAGACTGCCCCTAAAATAGCCATCTTTAACATAACAACAACTTGCACAGTGTGACTTTTTCAGACATCGCTCCTGAGCTCAGACACTCTCTGTCTAGAGGCAACAGGCTAAGCGTGTGCTCCGTCCGAGAGAGAAACCAAGCAAAATAAAAATCGAGAGGGGTGGCGCGGAGCGTGAAGAAAACAAAGTTGGTTGGAGGGGCTGATATTTGCATAGATGATAGAGACGAGGAGGGGGGGCCATGAAACGAAGAGGCGAGGTATTTTTAGAGTTGACGGAGGAAGTGGGAGATGTTTATGATTTCAGAACGACTACTCCCTCCCAGAGGTTCTGCTTCACGCTACGAGCTTTTGGCAGCACTGTCTCTCTAGTCAACCTGGCAACAGCTCCCTCATGCACTGTAGACTGACAAGAAAAGAGTTCACTTCCAGTTTACCTTTGCACGGTAGTCCAAAATGAAAGACAAAAAACGGTTCTCCTGTGACTTTTCATACATAAGTTATGGTGAGACTGACAAAGAAGAAAGTCTGGAAAAGCCCGCTGATGAATTTTCATTTGTTCCACAACTTTTCTGTGCTTAGCAAGCGTCTTATATCATGCGCCACAGGAAATCTTTGTAAAAATGATCATTTTCCCATGCAGCAACAACCCATCAGGGAGAAGCGATGAACCGACTATGATGACCCCGCTCGGTTTCAGCGTTCCTCACTGCTCTAATGCAATAATAGTGTGCAAAGGACAAAACTTCAATGTCACAGTTTGCGGCTGTGCTCAAAGCTGCGTGTTTAGAGATGTATTCCCTCAAAGAGTCTCAAAAACACCACTCTCCCTTTGATTCATTTTCTTTAAGATGGCAAATAAAGCACAGAGCATGGTTTCATGACTCATGTTTCTGTCGGTTCAGCAGGGAAAATGCTCTCCTGAGGGTAGGAATGAGGCAGTCTCCCTGTTTGGACTTCCTCCTTCCTTCCTGGACATCCTGGTCTCAACAAAGACCCCTCACCTGAGCAGGACAATGTGAGGGAATGTGATCACACTTTAAGAGGTAATGTCACTGTCAAGATCCAAGACAGAAACCAGCGTTAAAGCAACATACTTCTGTATGGTATGTATTATGTTAGAATATTTTTTGGGTTGGATTAGATATACTAGTATACTTATACCCCATACTAAATATTGGGGGTGGGGGTATTAGGGAATTTTTTTGTACTTTTGGCCATGTATGAACCATAATGGAAAATGGTCCATACCCAGGTTTACAAAATGGTAAAAAACTGGAGCCCGGGGCTACATATATACTGTATATATATATATTCTCGTCCTCTCTCATATATATATATTCTGAACTTTCTCACTATTGCTATTTGGAATAACGAATTGTGCTCTCTTCATGTCCTTTCCATAAAACATTACCATGAAGTTTAGTCTCAAAACAAGAAACAGCAATCACAATAGTGTTATTTATGCATAAATATAATTACATCATGGTAGACACTCTCTATACCCTATACAAATTTTAATGGAAAAAATGCTTTAGTAAAGTTCCATTGTGGAACGGCATACGGCAATGTTCATGTTTTCAGAAT